CGCTTGTGTTGAAACTGCCTTTCCTAAACACTGCAGCCCCGAGAGATTTCCCACCAGGCACTGTGGACGCAATGACTGGGGCTATACAGCTTGTTCAAGGGCCTACAAAAGTGTCTGGGGGTGGGAGGAGAGAGAGGGCGAGGTGGGGGGGAGGGGAGAGAGAGAGAGAGAGAGGAAATTGGCTTCAAAATATAAAAACAACCACCCCAAGTTAATATTTCATTGTGTCTACAAATGTAATACTATCAACGGTTTAGTGTTCCAAAAATTAGTCAGAAAACATGTATGAGAAATTTGCTGGTATTCAAGGTGATCATTAAGAAATCATTGCCAAGTGTGAATTAAAGACTGCCAAATAATTTCAGAAGTAACACGTGAAACAAAAATTTTCAGAAAATTTGCAGCAAGAATGTGTATTTAAGGAGGGATGTGGGTGTATTTTAACATATGATGTGATGAGTGGGGAAACCTACAAAAAGTCAGAGGGCCTGGAGCCCCAATGTCCCAGGGAAATACACTGCGAGCAGTAGATCTGCATTTCTAGGAGCTACAGGTACAAAAGTATGATCAGGTGAAATTAATTTTATCATCCAGAATATTATTTCAACGTATAATTGATAGAAGAAGTTAATGAGATATTTACATTCTTCTTTTTGTTTTTGAAATCTTCTGTGTACGTTTTACATCTCAATTCTGACTAGTCACGCAGAGGCCTAGAGCATCCAAAGTTACTAAAACTCATTGTAAAATGGCCTGTTTGCCTCCAATGCCCATCTGGGATGGAGATTTTCCAAATCTTTCCTTCCCAAACCAGGGCAGGGATGCTAAAGGGTGAGCAGGTGCTCAGAACCCCCTGCACCCCACACAACAAGGCTTCAATGTCCCAGGAGGAAACCAATGGAGACATTAAATTTTAAGTAGAAAAGTCAGGAATCTGACCACTGAAAAATTGTCCCCTTCAGCATTTCCTAAGGAGGCCATCCATCTTCTAAATATAAAAGTGTATTATTTTAAAGAATAGTCTTCTAGCAGGATAAATAATCTTTGACTCCACTTTCCAACTATTTGACAAGCTTACCGACAGCAGCAAACGGAGAGCAAACATGCCACTTCTTTTACTCAGCTGAAGTCGGTGAAACTGAACACAGAACCTTGTCCCCAATACTGCCACTGGCGTCACTGGCGCCATCTGCTGGCCACACTGAAACAGCCTCCCCCTGCGACAATCCTCTTAGGGACGTTTTCGTTCCAGCAGGCTCCGTGGGATAGGAAACTTCCCACCGATGCCATCCCCCCCATGAAGTTCCAATAGCAGCAGCTGACACTGGAGCACTTATTACGTGCCAGCCACAGAAGCCCTTGGCATGCACTAGCTCTTCACTCACACCCACCTTCTGCAGTAGCTACTTTTAACGTCTCCTATTTTACAGATGAGGTCACTGAGGCTCAGAGAAGTTCAATCACATGCTCAAGGTCGCAGAGTTGGTAAGTGACAGAGCTCGGATGTGAAGACAGGCAATCCAACTCTGAGTGCGTGTTCTTAACTATAACGTACAGGCATTTCAAATGTCACATTAGAATTGATGTAACTACCCCTCCCATTTTGGGGAGAAGGCAAGGACATATGACTGGTACTCACGCAATACTACTTGAGGTTATTATTGAACCTCAAGAACTCACCCTAAACCATATAAAAATTAACAGGGACAGAGAAAAATGCCCATCTCCGATATTAAAATATATCATACATACATGCATAGATTCATATATACACATGTAATGGTAGCACAATACTTACCATTACTGTATGCAACGTACTGGAATGGGTTCTGTCATCTTTTGTGGCTCCATTTAAAAAAATGCTACAACTACAGTCATTGTACCACCTATGAATGAGTCATGATTTAATTTGGAAAATGCTGGCTTAGATGTTCCTATATGCATTCCAGGTTCATTTCTTACAGAGCCCGTCCTTAAAAGGAAACTCAAGTTTTGAATAAAAAAAAGTATCCCTCCACTCTACCAAGTAGCCTAGAACACATGGAATAATGTCACCTTTACAGAATTTTCCAGCGAGGTATGTTTGTACCTTGAAGACGACTTTCAGGTGTACGTTTTAACTTCCATTGTATTATTTCCTGTCTCATTTTCATTGCTTTATTTTCACTGTATTATTTTTTATGGTTACTTTCTACAATACCTTGGGCAAGAGATATTAGTTTTCCATATCCTGAAATTTTTTCTCTAAATTTATGGCAGCAACAAATTTATTTTTGAAAGGTAACTATGTTTTCAAGAAGTGGATCGATTTAAAGAAATATCAGTAAATAAATACCAGTGGAAGCGGTGGCTCAGCCTGCCTGGGAAGCTGCACTGACACCCGCTGTCCAGCGCAGGGCCCCGCCTCTGAGGAGCTCCTCCCCTGCTGGAACCGTCATTTCTCTGGAAGGACAGCAATCCCTCACTGCAGGGAGTCGGGCACACACATAGTTCCACCCAACCCAACCCCTGCATCCTCTTGTCCAGGGCTGGTGACAGATGAAGCCGCCCGTAAAGCAGCCCTGGGCAGGGAGGGTTTGGAAGGCCCCCCTGCCTGAGCGGGATTCTCCCAGGCAGGCTCAGACGCGGGCCTGCAGACCTGTGCTCACACACGGAGAACCACAGTGCCCTGCCATTTCCAGGATCTGCCCCTCTGAACCTGGGGTCAGACCAAACGTAACAGGATCAGAGAGGTGCTCCTCCCTGTACTCAGGCTTGGGAAAAACCGTAAGGACACCTTGTCCAGCATCTTTTTTTTTTTTTGGCTGCACCATGAGGCATGCAGGATCTCAGCTCCCTGACCAAGGATCAAACCCACGCCCCCTGCAATGGAAGCGCGGGGTCTTAACCACTGGACCACCAGGGAGGTCCTGAGCAGCATCTTAATGTGATCATGTCCACAATTAACCAAGAAAGTTCATGTTATAAACAGGGATGAGGAGAAGCCTAATAAAACCAAGTGGAAAATTGAATGGAAACAAAATGTTAACTGTAGAATCTAGGTGGTAGATATACGGTCACTACAAATCTCCAATTCCTCTGTATGTTTGAAAGTTTTCCTTAAAAATGTTGGAAAAAAAATAAGTGAAAACAAAACTTGTCTTCTCCATGAGGTTTACATATTCCACCTTCAGCAAAAGCAGGAACTCTATTTTTCACTGGGTGTAAATTTTTAATGGCAGTACGACTTGACACTTATTAAAGCACAGTCAAGATTACACGTGTATCTTTCCAAACTAGAAGATGCCATCAAATTTACGACTACCTATTGAGCACCTGCTGTATGCAACACACAGTACTGGTGCCCGCAGGGATGAGGATGCTGAAGTTGGAGAGTTCCTCAGACTTCGCAAACCTTTTAGGAAACATGAGAACAAGTATCTTAAGTTTAATGACTTCAACAAATATTTACAGGTTCATCATTAGAAAAAATACAGCAGACTTTTATGTTCTGGGTTCTAGGCTGACAGAGAACGGAGCCTGTCTCCCAGCAAGGAGCTTACTTTACTCCTGGTTTCTGGCAGCCCCAAGTCCAACCCTGGACTTAAGCAAATGTTTTAAATTTGCCAATTAGAAAAACTATCCCCTTGGTGATGTGACAAGGCCCAGTCTTGGAAAAGAATACTCTAAAAGGCTCATGACTTAAGACTCACTATTTTGTGGTCATTTTCAACCATAGCCAGCCACTAGCTTGTAAAAAAAGAGTAATAAAACTGCGGCTAGGGCTTCCCTGGTGGCACAGTGGTTGAGAGTCCGCCTGCCGACGCAGGGGACATGGGTTCGTGCCCCGGTCCGGGAAGATCCCACATGCCGCGGAGCGGCTGGGCCCGTGAGCCATGGCCGCTGAGCCTGCGTGTCTGGAGCCTGTGCTCCACAACGGGAGAGGCCCGCATACCACAAAAAAAAAAACAAAAAAAAAAAACTGCGGCTAAACTAAAAGTGATCCATCTATTCTCAGCTCCAACGAACGTTGGCTACTGAAATAGCCTGAGCTTGGCTAGAGCTTGGCTTTCCTCATGGCAATCTTTCCTACTCGCCGTCTGCCGATACACACAGATCGCAGAGCTGCAGGGCTGATTCATAAAGGGAAGGAAAAAGTTAGCTGTAAACAGTTAACCTGAATATTAAGACTTTTCTAGTGCACTTGCCTTTCCCTCTCTCTCAAAAAAATAAAAGAAAAAAACAACCAACCCAAAACAAAACTTTTCAGACCAAAAGAACCAGAGAGTTAATGGTCTGAATTCATCTGTGATCTGACTACCAAAGAATTTAAACCATTGAGTGCTGGCAATGTCTTTCAGTAGAAAACTTTATTTTGTCTTTTAAGAGTAGACAAACATGTCTTACAGTATTATCAATACCAGAGCTCCACACTCAGGAAGTTAATTTACACACCAGCCCCGAAGAGTAAAGCAGAAAAAGCGTTCGGGATTGCAGGGCAAAAACACAACAGACTCTCATTTCAGATACTTACCAATCAGGAATTTTGAACTACATGAAATAAAAAAGCAACACCCCAAACCTATGGCTACTGGGGGCACCAGCTCCAAGTACTTCCCAGGCAGGGTACCTGGGTTCTAACTTGAAGGCCACACATGCATCACCCACTTGGGCTTTGCCCACAAAGCCCTGTCACTCAGAACACGAACACCCCTGTTCCAGTCACCAGGACATCTGCCCTGCAGAAGTGAAAAGCACTGGAAATGTCCAAGACAGGAATGAAGGAAGCAAAAGAAAAACACATTCAAACTCTGCCCACCAATGCTTGGAGAGACTGCTGCTAGACAATCCACACAGCAGAAATACTCCCAGCTCAGGGGTTCCTCTCTCCAAAGGGGCAAAATTTCTGCATTTCCCACAGGGCATCTGCAATCACAAATCAAAACCCAATGATGATGCTGAGCAGGGCAACCACTTCAGAGCTTACGGGGTGGGCAAGGGGAGAGACGGACAAAGGGAGCTTAGTAGACAATCTTCTAAATATTTTATTACAAAATACAGTACAGGGCTCGTAGAATGTTTCCCAATGTTCTCTAATACATACACTGCTGAATGAAGCACTGCAAAATACCTGGCAGTTGCCCACATGAATCTAAGAACTTCTATAATAATTTTAATCCCCTTAAGAGTTACAGACAAAACCTGTAACCGGCAGTGGAATGGAGAGATGGACAGTCACCGTGGCCGCCAGGCTCCTGACTGCTGAACAATGACATCGTTTTCTTCAGGGGTTGAAATCCATATCCATGGCTGACAACCCACTGAAAGCTGGGACCCAAATTCGTACAGAGATGAGGCAGAGTGGAGAGAAGACAACTCTGGACAACCCACAAGTCTCCAGCCACTACTTCTTATTCCTGGGCTTTAGCTCTTCGGCTGCGTTACGTAGGAAAATGTAATTTTTCTTTTGGGGGTTATAAAATTCATGTCCCTAAAGGGGAAAAAAAACAGTACCTTAAAAATTGATTAAAAATCCGGTTAGCATTTTGTGGGCACTTTTAACATGCCAAGTCCTGTGCTCCATGCATGATGTGTAATCTCTCTGGAGGAATAAAACAGGTAAATGGAGAGAAATAAAAGTCAAACGTTAAAAACTTTAATCCTCAGAGTAAAGGTTAAGGACTTGGTGGAAATGTCTTCAATGTGCCCCTTAGAAGGATGATCTTCTACATATTTATCTTTTCAGCACTGAGACTTTTGTCAACCTTCCACCGCTTTAATGCCAAGATGACTCCCCCTCAGTGAGCACAGCCTGGGGAGGGGAGGATGGCGTAGGATGAGCTGGAGGTTTCTCAGCACAGGAGACTTCTGGTCTGTGACATCACAGGGAGCGGGGCAAGTCCCAGGATGCGCCATCCCAGACGCGGAGGGAGGTGAAGTGCAGGTGTCAGCGTGTCTGCTTGTGCCTGTGCTGAGGAGGAAGGGGGGCTGTGTGACACTGGGGGAGTCTGAAGCACCCAGCTCAGGCCAGGCTAGAAAGGGCTGTGAACAAGCTGAGGCCTGTGAAAACTGTCCCACAGGGAAAAGGAATGGCAGCCACAAAGCTAAGTGACAATGACAGGACTTATGTTTCAGGAACACAGCAGAGTGGTGTGGGTAAGACAGATGAGTGGAAACCCGAGGTAACCAAAAGGCCTGGAACAGGGAGGTGGGAAGCGCCTCTGGGTGCGTTCTGCCGCCTGCAGTGCAACGATATGCTTTATTCTCACTCCTTGACAGTTACGCCAAGATAGTTCTAGAAGTTCTGCTCACCCAATGACCATTAAGTCTCATCGTAATACACAAAGTGCAGCTTTTCGGAACAGTTACGCTCAAGCAACAAGCTAATAATATTAATCATATGTGGGGATAAGGGTCCTTCAACTAAGAACAATGGAAAATTCATAAGCAACTTTAAGTTAAAAGATTATAATTTAAGTGTTCCACGGTTGACATTAATTGCTCAGATGAATTAATTGAGTGGCATTCAAAGCGATGAGCTTTGATTTTACACTGCTTACAATTTACAATTATTTTTTCAACGCCTGAAACACACAGAGCCATGAGTGTGATGTGAGTTAAACATGGAGTTTTAATGTGGCTGCAGGCTGAGCAGGTGAAGAAGCAGAGATCCACTGAAGAGGCCCACAGGGAAACTGAGGCCTCAGGCCACAATCTGGGTCCAACCCCAGCCAGGCAGAACCAAAAAAGCACACACTTTGCAAAACTGAGTGCGTGGCTTCCACAGGTGAATGGATAAACAAACTGTGATACATCCAGACACCATGAAATACTACTCAGTAGTTAAAAACAAACTAGTGACACAAGAGCAAAAAAGAGTACACAGTATATGAGGCCGCCTATATAAAATTCTAGAAAGCGCAAATCCCCTATAATGACAAAAAGCAGATCACTGTGTGCGTGAAGGAAAGGATTACAATGACACAGAGACTTCTGGGGGAGACACAAGTGTATGTTATCTTGACTGTGGTGGAGGTTCCCTGGGTATATACACAGATACTGAAACTGATCAAGCTACACTTTAAATGTGTGCAATTTACTGCCTTTCAATTACAACTCAGTAAAGTTGCTGGAAAAAAAAGGCAGCTATGCGGCTCACATAAGAGAGTGCGCCTCCCACAGGCCTGAGCAGGCATCACAACAATGCGCTGAGCGGGCAGGATGTACCGCAGGTGAAGTGGACAGAGCTCCGTAACAGCCCAGCTCTTCTGAGAAAGAGAACCCAAGGCGACTCCAAGACTGACACCCCACTGCCTAGGAGGTGTTTGCCTCAAAGAGGAACGGACACAGGAGAAGCAGCAAGCGGGAGGGTACAGCGGGGGCGGAATCCACCGGATTTTGATCTCCTAGGTTAAGGTGCTTAGCGGGTAGCCGGGGCGGACATCCCGTCGGGACTGGAACAGCGGAGGAAGTGGGGAGCGAGGTCAGGAGCCAAGTTACACATGGACGAGTCACCTGCTTAGGCTGGAAGAGCTGCTGCTTCGTGAATGCAGACACGCCTGGAGGACCCGAAGGAGAACCACAGAAAAAGGCCTGCGTACAAGAGGTGGGCAGAGAGCAGAAGCCACCAGAGATTGCAAGGAGCAGACAGGAGTAGGAAGACAACAGACAACGGAAAGCTCAGAGAAACCAAGGGGAGGGCTTTGTGAAGGAAAGAGGAAGGGATGGACCGGTGCCCAGCAGAGACAGCAAGGAAGCTTCTGGACTGGACAAGAACAAAGGCAGCAAGAACCTGACTACAGTCCAGGAAACTGAGGAGGAGACAGAGGTGGGGGAACAAAGAGGGCAGGGGGTCACCACTCTGGACAAGTTTAACAGAAGGGAAACCAGGCTTCTTAATACTCGTGTTAGAAGAGCCGAAGTGTGTGCCTACAGTCGGGGGAACGAGACAGGGGACAGGTAGAGAAGAACGAAGGAGGGAGGGAGGGAGGGAGGGGAGGGAGAGAGGGAGGGGAGGGAGAGGGGGGGGGGGAGAGAGGGAGAGTGTTATGTGCTGTGTGTGTCTCGGGGAAGGGAGGGGGGCAGGGCCAGGGAAGACAGACACTTTGTGGATGTGAACAAGAAAGACACCACGGCTATGGAGCCCAAGTACCCAGGTCTGCTCTCTTTACCATCACACTGGGATGACTCCAAAACACAGCCAGGACCCTGTCAGTCCCTAACTTCCCTCCTCCCCACACAGCAAACAAGCAAAGAGCCAATGCCTCTGGTGGAAGCCCCACGGCCTTGCTGAGCCCTCTTCACTCTCGCCCAACAACCCCTGGCATCACTGGATGACTGGACCCCCCCAGAGTGGCGGCCGCTGGGTTTACAGTGACCAAACACTTGACGTGGGCACGTTCTCAGAGAAAGGATGGGAGGGAGGCCCTGCTGTTCCCTTTGCAGTCAGGTGACGGTGACACGACATTTGCAGACACACAGCGTGTCTGTGGAGGCCTTGCGACTGAAGCCCAGGCCTTCCGACTCCAGAGCCTGGCTCTGCTGCCTGAAGGGGCCCAACGCAGGTTTGGGAATTCTCACCTTTGACCAGTCGTAGCTGGAAGCATATGCAAATATGTTTCCATTGTGATTGAAGCAGCAAGCCGATATCGGTTGATCTAGCTGTTCCGAAGTTTTTAGTTTTGTTCTGGCATCTTTGTCCCAAAAGCTGAATCTACCATCAGATCCCACAGTTGCAAGGGTGCCATGAACAGGATGGAACGCAATTCCATTTACCTACAAATGATGGATATGTACAATGAGAAGCAGAGGCAGAGGAGGGAGGAGAAATCAGGTTCTCGCCAATGCAGACTTCCTGGTTCAGTCAGGACACAAAATGGAACAGACCGTCAGTTCAGTAGAGCTGGCGGCCCGCTGATGACAGGAGAAACTAGCCCCACTTCCTGAACCAATCGGCAGCCCAGGACTGAATCTCGTCTCTTGTTCAAAACACGAGTCAGCAGAGGTTAATAAGTTTGTAAGCTAGTGACACCAACGAGCGAACCTCAGGAAAATGCCTTTTTCTTTTTCAGCAAACAGCAATTTCTCTGTTTTAGCTAAGTGTATCAACTGTCTACCAGCACTCATACAGGTGGAAGTCGCTCCCCAAAACTCCTAAGCCTGCATTCAGAAACAGAGAGAACGAAGACGGTCAATATGTTCATAAACACAGAAAACTGAAACCTCTCACGTAAGCCATTTACCTCTGCACGCGAACACACACAATGACAGTGATCTTTTCTGACCCCATAATGACTCAGCTACCCACCTCCAAGTCTAGTTTCTAGACAAATTCTCAGGGTTACAGTTTCTAAAAACGTACCGCGTAAATGTCCTGAGGAGCTGAAGTGTTGGTTCCGTTAGATCGATGACATTTAAAGGTGAAGTTATCTTTGGCCCTGAAACACAAAGGCCCAACTTAGTTTTCCTTTTTACAAAAAAGCCTCAAGTGAAAATCTTCACGCTGATCAGGCCTCACTTACGGATTTGGGGGGTTGATGTAGTGAATGGCAACTCTCCCCTCAATGCTTCCCAGGGCAAAACCTGTCGGCTTGTTCTGTTTGTCTTTAAAAATAGCCACACATCGATGCTACAGTTGGGGGGAAAAAGTATATCATCACAATGTAAGCTGTAACATTCCATAACTAACGTGACTGTACACAGCTTTTACCCCATTTTCGGGTTCTGAAAGAACCAGAAACAGTATTTCTCAAATATGGTAAAGAAGATAATTTCTATTCCTCCAGTAAGCATTATTTTCCTTTTAGTCAGCCACATGATTTTATGAATAAACCTCGGACCAAGTGCTTCCATCCAGGCACCGTTCTCCCTCTGCCACCCTAAAGGCCCTGCTGTCACTGCAGCGGGGCACGCGGCCCTCAGAGCCCCGCCAGGTCCTTTTCTGGTGCTGGCCCCCTGGTGGGTCGGGAGAACATGTCACTTTGATTCACAGCCCACCACTGACTAGGTGAGCGCCCTCCAGCAAGTCACCCAACGTTCCAGAGCCTCTGCGTCCCCAACTGGAAAAGGGAAGTAGTGCCTGCCTGTGGAGCACGGGGGACCAAGGGTCAAGCATACAGTGGACGCGGCCAGAACTTTCTAAACCGTGAATAAGCTATACAAAAGGCAGACACTGCACTCGATCCAACGCTGAGTTTGAGGGCCCAAAGGAGGGTTTCCTGGACTCCACAGAAGATCCCAGAGAAACAGCCCACGGCCCAGCCTCCAGGGGCAAAGGAGCACAGATCCACATTCTTATTGTCAATCAAGAAGAGGTGCATTAAATGTGGACGCAGGGAAGGAGAGAAATGAACAGATCTGAAACCACATGCAGGGTAGAAGTGAGCTTGGTGGTTGATGAGATGGGAGAGGAGGAGAGGAGGGAGAGTGAACCAAGGACGACTCCTGATTTCTGGCTTAGACAGCTAAGGGGCGGAGGTGCAGAGCACACAGGGAAGAGCAGGCTGGGGTGGTGGGGAGGGGCAGGTAAAGACTGCTCACTTGGCAAACACAGAATGCCTTCTATTCAGGCCTGGCTGCAGGTGCCAGGAATGAGGCAGCAACAAACACAAAATCCCTGCTCTCACTGAGTCTATGCTCTGGTCAAAAAAACAAGATGAGTAAAATCTACACGTATGTATATATAAGACACACACACGTATCTCTCTCTATATAGCCTGGGGAGAATGAGCAGGGAGGATCCTGAGAAGAGGTGACATGATCTGCAGAAAGTGGTCCTGGGTTTGGCACGGGATGCTCTGGGGCTGAGACATGAGGAGGATGCAAAGGAGCTGCCAGACTGTAGGTGTCCTTGTCAGCACAGAGGCAAGGCCTGCTGGGGATCCAAGTCTCCAGCCCACAAGGCGTACCTAAGCAACAGCAACGGCCGGCAGATGTAGAGGAGGCAGTGGCCAAGGGCAGATGCCTGGGGAACCTCAACATGCAGCAAGAACCAGCAAGGAAGACAAAGCAGCAACCAGAGAGGCAGGACGTAAGAGGCTGGCATTACAGAAACCAAGGAGAGTTTTAAGAATATGTAATAAGAACAGCAGTGAATGCTGCTGCCACGGGAAGATGAGGGTTGATGAGTACCCACTGGAGCTACTGATTAGAAAGCCATCAGTGGCCATGCCAGAAACAGTTTCAGTGGAGTAACGGGGGCAGAAGTCTCAAAGGAGGGTGAGAGATGAATGGGACGTAAGGGAACCAAGAAAGCTCACGTAAGACACTTACTTGACTTCAAAGAGAAAAAGGGACGGAGGCGGCAGAGGATGTGGGGGTCAGAAGAAGCTTGTTTCCTAGGATTGGACTTGAGCCTGGTTCAGTGCCAATGAAGTACAAGAAGAGGGGAGATGAGATACAGGAGAGAGGCAGGTGGCTGACAACCTAAGGCCCCTGAGAAGGCTCACCTAACAGCTGGGAAAAGGCAGGGAAGATGCAGGTGTCGCCAGAGTTCTAGATGCAGCAGGAGGAAGATGGGGAAGTTCCCAACCATCAGCTTCTATGTTCTCGGAGGGAGTGTCCAGGGGTCTGAAGAGAGTGAAGGAGATCTAAGAATCCGTGGCAGGTGAAGACCAAGCTAAAGACGGAAGCTGTGGATTCACAATGGAACCAATCCACCGAGGTGTGCCCCCATTCAGCAACATGCAGCGAACCCGGGGGATGTTTGCAGAAGATGGTATTTACTCACTAAATATTTGTGTTTAAATTCACCCCCTTTGAATGTCGGAAAGTACAACGATTTCCATATGTGGCCACATGGCCAGATTGCCTGCGACAGTGCTAAACATGAGCTTCTTGATTTGACTTGTGACTCACCTGATGTTTCAGTGGAGATTCTATCCTCCTGAATTCAGAAGGTTGATTCTCTAACTGATAGACAATCAGTCCCCTCTCTGCAGTTGCCACCACAGCCATAGGATATATCTGGGAAACAGAGGAAAGCAGAGACATGCTTCAAGTGGACTGTACTCTTTTTTATACCAAAGTATTAGATCAATTTTTTTTAGAGTCACAAAAAGTAAGCCTGAATTTTTTTTCAAGTTTAACAGGTCAATGATATTATCACATTTCAAGGTAACCTAGAGAAATCGTATTTGAAAGTAGAACATTCATATCTTTTTAAAAGACTCATTTTTTAAAACTACAAAGTATACAGTTAGAAAATGTACTGAGAAATAGAGAAGAAATGAACATCACCTCTCTCACCCCATCAAATGATAACTGTTGTTAGCATTATGGTATGTTAACCCCCGTCTTTTTTCCTGAACATTATACAGGTGTGTATATGTATGTTTCTGTATAATGCTGATCCTTCACTCAAAGCATATTTAGTGAGCACCGCCCCACACATTTTCCAGAGAACACTAGCAGTGGCCATGTATCTAACATTCCCTCAAATGAACCCACCACAGGGTTCACTTAACCATGTCTGTCTTGTTGGCCCACTGGGTCACTTCCCATGGTTTACTATATTATAGAGAACAAAAAACATTTCCATCTTTACTTTTCTCATGATAAATTCCTAAAAGTGGAATTACTGGGGCAGTTGGTATGAAACTTCAACTTATTGCTAAACCAACAGAGAAAGTTCTTTACTTTCTATCCCGCTCACTCAGAGACAGTCACCAAAGCTCTAGCACCACACCACAAAGTTACTGCCAGTCTTCCTACAGCCACACAGTGCATTTCATTCTGGGGACAGCATGGCATGTGGCCATCTGCGTATGTTCATACAAGTGACTAAAAAAATGTGACATCTAGTTTTCTGTAATTCTGGAACATATGCAGCACAAAAATCTACAGATTTAAGATGACTGAGGCAATCCAAACTACATCCCACATCTATTACTAAAGTTTGAAGGGTTTTTACATTACCCTCTAACTGCAAGATATCATAAGGTAAGAAGTGCCTTTTTTTTTTTTTTTTTAAAGGAAATAATTATCATTAAGTTAAAAATTCCTTACCATGTCAGCACAGTAACACCTTTCAGGGAGTTGTAAAACCATCATAGGATTTGATGATCGTGTATCCCAAAACTAAAAGACAAAAAAACCCCCACAAAAACCCAATAAGTGACCAGAGCTAAAGTCCAAATAGTGCAAGAATAAATGTTGGGCTTCCCTGGTGGCGCAGTGGTTAAGAATCCACCTGCCAATGCAGGGGACACTGGTTCAATCCCTGGTCCAGGAAGATCCCACGTGCCACGGAGCAACTAAGCCCGTGCGCCACAACTACTGAGCCTGAGCGCCAGACCCGCGAGCCACAACTACTGAGCTCGTGTGCCACGACTACTGAAGCCCGTGGTCCACCACAAAAGAAGCCACCGCAATGAGAAGCCCACGTACCGCAACGAAGAGTAGCCCCCGTGCAGCAACGAAGGCCCAATGCAGCCAAAAATAAAATTAATTAATTAATTTTAAAAAAATAAAATAAAATAAACGCCAATCTTGGTCAGGCCATGCAGTCCCTCAACAGTATATTATACCTTCAAAGTCTTATCCCAGCTCCCGGTCATCACACAGCTGTAGTTTGGTGCTTTGATCCAGTGTATAGTTTTAACAGGAGCATCGTGCTTTCAAGATAAAACCAAAATACACCAAGGTGAATGTAATAATATGCTACACAGCTTTGGTTCTGGAAATTCAAAGAGAAGGAACCTTAAATACTGAGGTCACACCAAACAGAAACCAAAGGATAGTTCAGCTCTTCCCCATGACCAAAACATTCAATGTAACATCAAGAGCATGTATCTACCTTCCATTCTAACAAAATTTAATTTGATTTTAACCATCATTAACTAGCATGTGAGAGTGAAAGGCGGAGATATTCAGGAATGACTCACAGGGAACGCCACCACAGTTGTATCACTTAGATGACACGCATTAAGAGACTGAGGAGATGCTTCTAGCACACAGTACTGCAATCTCATGGTACACAACACCTTCCTGAAAACGTCTCAGTGTCAAGAGGCTCTTCCTCACCAGGCCAGACCCTCTGGTTGCAGGTTCTCTCATCTTCCTCATTTCTGCTTTTCTTAGCAGTCTTCTCACAGAACCTGCCTGCTGTCCCGAGCAGACTGTAAAAGCTCCTGGCATGTGGAAGGGTCCCTCTTACTCACTGCTCTATCTCTACTCCTAAGGACAGTACCTGGAGTATCACAGGCATTCATTCAATACAGACTTGTCGAATGGATGTGTGACCAAATGCAGCTGGTACAAGGCAAGCCGCACACGGGTGTCAGGATGCTGAGGATGAGCTGTACCGTTTACAGGTTTTAACGTCACTAGCTCCTTATTATGCCCTCCCCATCCACACACTACGGAAGACCCGTGACAGAACAATTTATGAAACACTAGTTAAAACGAGAATGTGTACAAGATTGGTGTCATTTTTGTGCTACAGAGGTTTCTGGTATATTTAAATCTAATTGATTTGGAATGGTCAAACTGCATCTTTCCTATAATAGAGAATTATTGTAATTAAGGGATCATCGCAACCCTGGGCACCAGCCTTGCCCAGCCTTCCTGCACAGGGTAAGTTTTTACTACCTGTGCTATCTGTATCGCCTGGTTACTGTTGAGGTCCCACATTTTGGCAGTTTTATCACATGACGCCGTAAATACTTTGCTCCCATCCTAAAATAAAATAGAAAAAAATCTGACATTCTAAGAAAAATAAAACATCTATATGAACATCTAGGTATCAGACTGAACATACCGAGGCAGGTTTTATTTTGCAATTTTAATTTTTCCAATTATTTGGGGGCCAGAGTATTGCAAGCTACAGTATCATATACAAAACACATTTTCTGCTCTTTTTAATTGTTAATTTTTTCTAAGAGATAATATGTAAAAAGGTTAAAAAAAACTTGAACAGCATTTAGAATTACAGAGTGAAAACGAAGTCTCTCCTGACCCCAGCTCGCCACTCAGAGGCAGCCATAGCCACTGGCATGTCCTCCAAGAACAGCCTTTGTACATCCTGTATCGATGTGTATTACCTACCAGGAGCCACTTCAAAATCTTTTTCTTATTTTCATCGATTTCAAGCCTTCACAAAAGTTGCAAGAATAATACAATGAATCCTCATAAACCTATCACCTAGATTCACCAACTGTAAACACTTTGCCACATTTACTGTATCTCTTTCTATCCCCCCATTCCCGCTCTGTACCACATGTACAATCATGATTATTTTTCAGCTCAGTATCTCATAGCATTCGAAAGTGCATGCAATAAAACTACACTAATCTATGATAGTCACTGGTCCAATGTAAACTATAGAACAGCTTAAAAAATTGGCAGTCACTGTATAGTGGTTTTAAAATACTCACATACAGAACTCATAAAGTAGGTTAGTCAACATGAAGCACAAGGTAATTTAAAAACAAAAAGTACTGAGTTGAAAATTCTAGACCAGCTGTCAGAAAATTTATTTTCTTAAAGGGCCATATAGTAAATATTTTAGTCTTTGCGGGTCAAAAGGTCTCTGTTGCAACTCCTTAACTCTGCTGTTGTAGCTTGAAAGCAGCCATACACATTATGTAAATGAATGATGTGGCTGTGTTTCAAGAAAAGTTTATTCACAAAAATTGGTAATGGGTCAGATCTGGCCCATGGGCCACAATTTGCTGACCCCTGCCCTACAGTACTTCACTTCTGGTTCCACAGCTCAAAGATTTACCACTATCTTCCCCTAGCAAAAACTTCTTCCCATTTGAAGTCGCCAGTTCCCCATGTGAAAGAAGAGAGAAAACCTTCTTCTCTATTAATGAAGCTAGGAGGGCAACTCCACAAATCCTTGGAAAGATGATAATGTATGGAGAGGGATGCCCCGAGGCTGAGTGAAACACTGGCCCCTTAATCTCATAAAATGCCAATCCTACCAGCTGCAGGATGCCAGGCCCCAGTGGACATACTGAGACAGAGGCCAGTCTATCTAACGGCTGGGGCACAGAAACGAGATTCCCAAGTGCTCTCGACTCAGCTCCTCTCAGGTCCACCTGCTGTGGCCAGACTGACCGTCCTCAGACTGCCAGAGAATCACCCTCACCAAGTTTTAGCTTTTATGCCTCAAGCGTTAACTGTGGCTCTTCTGTGCTTCTGTGCCTTTCCACACCTGCCTTCCTCTCCCAGGCTAGCCCCTATTCCTGTAAACTCCTGTGAGGGAGGCTGTTAAGTGCATGGGCTCTGGAGCCAGGAAGGTCCAAGTCTGGGCTCAGCCTTTCACCCCCTATATTCCCTCAAACAAGTCTCTTAACCACTTCCCACAGGTGCCCCGCTAGTCTTTACGTGGCTGAATCTAGCTGTCACTGATTTCCACTACCTGAAATCCTTCTGTTTCTCTATGTCTGTCTTAAGAGGTCATGAGTTCCATAAGCACAGGATTTGCCTACCTTGCCTACTTTGACTTCCACTGTATCCCAAGTGCTTAGCATACGACAGGTGCCAGACAATTATTTCAACTAAATAATGTTATTACCTGTTGTAAAACTATTATTATCGTCATCTTACAAGTGAAAAAACATACTCACAGAGATTAAATAACTTGGCAAAGTCAAAAAGTGGAGATACAGCCGAAATTTGAACCCAGGCCTGGAATGGATGAGACAATGCTTAAAGCTATATAAGCAGGTGGTTTACTTTTAAGATTCAGCTCAATTCTTGCCTCTTCTGTGGAGCATTCACAGCCCCCTTCCCAAACTTCACAGCTGCCTTCTGGGTTCTGTCTCCCCAGCACAGTGCATCCTGCCTCTCTCAGAACTCAGCTCACTGAATTGGAACTCTTCATGTCTATGTCTCGATGCCTCCACTAGATGGCGCAAAACTCTAACGGTGATGGAGAAAGGAAATAGGCGGTACACGTCTTTGTAAAAGCCAACAGCCTGCTCAGTACCATCCGAGCAACAGAATTCCGGTGTCAGTTAATTCTATTTCTTACCATACTTGATAAGAAACTTACAATTCTGATCTGTTAACTGATCAGTAAAGAAAGACAGGCAAAATAAATTAGAAATATTTAAAATCTATTCAAGTTGCTGTTTTTCTACAGATAAATTAAAACTAGTATTAGTCTCATAATAACCCAATCAGACATGTCAGAAATACATTTTACAGGTAACAAAAATGCTTTAGAGAAGGCTGTCAGAGCTAATGATTAAAATGGGAGCAACTCTGGCTCCTTAACCATCTCAAAATGTTTATAAATAGTAGAATCATTTCCTATTTGAAAGCTAAGTAAGATCACATAAATGTATGGTGCGAGTAGTTTGCTATTTCTCATAAAGGTAAACATATATTACATATGACCCAGCAAGCCCACTATTAGATATTAATGCAAGAGGAATGAAAACTTATATTCACAGAAAATCCAATATACAAATGTTTATAGCAGCATTATTCGTAATGACCCAAAATGGGAAACAACCCTAAAGTCCTTCAGCTGGTGGGTGGTGAACAAAGAGTGATACATCCATACCACGGATTACTACTCAGCAATAAGGAAGACACACTACTGCCAGATACAACAACCCGGACGGACCTCAAATGCAGTGTGCTCAAAACAGCCCGATCCAAAGGGCTTCTGTTTATGACATTCTAGTAAAGGCAGAACCACAGGGACAGAAAACATATCAGTGGTTTCCAGGGACGGGGGGCTGAGGAGGATTTGACTACAAAGGGCAGGATATCCTTGGGCTGATGGCTCTCTTCTATATTTTGACCACAACTCTTATGCATTTCTCAAAACTCACAGAATCATACACTAGAAAGGTTCAATTTTACCATTTGCAAATCGCATCTAATAAAAAAAATTTGCATGAGCCTGAGGAGGGACCTTGAGGCTTAGCTTCCTCAGCACAGCTGCCCCAGACTCTCAGTCAGGCCCCTTTGTTTTCTCACTGCAGGGTTCCGCCATCAGCAGAAGGGAGGAGAGAAAGGCTGGGATGTCAATCCTGGGCTCCTCCTTTAGGGAGGGGTGGGTCCTCCACAGCTGCAGCTCTTGCTGTGTGACTTCACCATCCCTGCTGGTTTCCTTGTAAATGGTACCTTCATTAAACTCCCCAATCACCCACCCACTCCCCCAAAAAGAAAAATAAAGAAGAGCTCAGAGCTGAATAAACTTGAACACATTTACTTACATTGCTGATGTTCAGGATTTGGGAGGAAAAAGACTTCCAAAAAAACGAACTATTTCAGAAGTTTAATAATGGAAAAGGATTGATTCTTTCCCTAGGACTTATTTTCTGGGACAGTAATTTCTAATTTTAAAACAACATAGGCTCATGGCACATGTAGAGGTAGGAGAGGCTTTAAAAAATTCTCTAGTCCCTTGCTCAAGGAAATATGTCAGTAAATTAATGGATTTTTTAATGCAAGAAAAGCTTTCAGAGAGATTAAAGTTAACATGACTAAAGTTAACTGACTACATTATGAGTATCAATAAATTACTATATTTAAATTCAGAAACAGCACTTCTACAATGTGTATACATACTTGCTATTTGTGTTTCAGGTTATATAAAAACATATATACATTTATATACACTCTGAAAACATGAAAAAACTGAATGAAACTTACATCACTCCAGCAGACATCTAGCACAGGCCCAGTGTGCATCTGTTGGGCTTTTGGAATAGTCTGTCCACTGTCTTGAACTTCCCAGCATCGAACCTATAATAATAAAACAAATTAACACAAACAGCCAATTGATGATACATTATATGCATTTTAAGCCCTTTGCTCCAAGCCATAATCAGATAAACATAAATTTACATTACAGACACTTTTTTCCGATCAAATGAACAAACATAAAATGAATAATACTTGGCGCCAGCACGGATAAGCTGAGACTTGTACTACTGGCAGATGTGTAAATTGGTACAGCTCTTCTGGAGGATATTTATCTGAAATCCTTAAGTCTGTACCCTGTGTCTCAACTATTTCGGGACTTGAAGATTTCCCATGATGTACTTTACATGCGTTATCTGAATTAACCTCTACAACAGCTAAAGCTCTGTGAACTTACTGTCATCTCCATCTCATGAAACAGGACACGAGGCTTAATGAAGATAACTGGCCCAGGTCCCATATCTAAGAGAGTGGCAAAGCCACTATGTGTTTATCCGATTAGGAGTGCGGTTGAATGTTTCAAGATTACTCCAGCAGGCCACTTGCACTCCTTTGTGAAGTGCCTCTAAACACCCTTCGCCTATTTTTCTACCAGAGTTTTTATCTTTCTTTTCATATGCTATGATTTCTTTTTGGTAAGTATAGTGTCTGTGCAGGATTTATGCTATATCTAAAGGTGAAAAAACTTTAACATATGCCTGAAGAACATTTGCAGGATGCCTAGAAGGGAAATTTGTACATACCGTCATGGACAACTTTTATTTTCAATGAATACTACAGACCTGGGAATATACTTCAAGATACTGAACTAGAGTAGGAATTTTTGAATGACGCATATGATCCTGCTTTCTTAACAAAAATCGGCACAAGAAGGGACGCCTGCCATTCAGACGGGTTCACACTCTAAACTCGGTGCTTAAAAAAAGCCATGAGTAAGCCTGAACTCTCTGCTTCACTCACTTGGAGCAAAAAAAAAAAAAAAACAGCTAACACTAACTGTGCCGATACAAAGAGATATGCCACAGAGAACACGCAAACGTTTAAGGAGCACTTACATCGTTAGCCCACGACCCTGCAATAAGGAAGTTCCCCGGCAAGGCTGGCGGGCTAAAAGATAGACAACCAATGCTATCATCAGGAGAGGATGTTACTTCAATATCCTGGGGTGGAAAAAGTCCGTGTTAAAATGTATACATCGTCACAATTCAATTCAAAACTGCCTTCTTTCTCACTAGCACCTCATGGTGGCCTTCCCTTGTGTCAAGAGCTAAGTGAATTAGACCTTTCTTACTTTGATAAAAAGGGGGAGTGTAACTAAGCCAGTGAAAGCACTGGTGCTGCTGGATTACAAGCAGCACTCTCAAAGGCAGGCCCACTACCATATTTCCCAGACGATGGCCCACCCGGTCACTCTTGCCCCGAAGTGCTCAATCACAGCATCACCTGCCTCCCTCCGCCACAGAAATTCTGAGTCAACAGTTGTGGGCTGGGCCCTAGGAACGTGCAATTTTAACAGGCATCTCGAGTGATTCCAGTGATCAGGAATGTCAGGGGGAATAGGACAATCGTCCAGGGGACACACAGTTTCTCTTTTCCAGTATTTGAGAAAGCAGCCTGGACAAAATTTCAGAGTTTTCACCCCCAAAGGAGGCTCCCAAGCCATCTAGGTTTCTCTCGCTGTCACAAGCGTGGGGCCCCCTGCAGTGTCTCTACAAACCCATGAAACCTTAGGCGGTACCTTCATAGGGTTGTGATTATCTGCGGCGGCGCTGCCAAACATGCTGGCTCCCCCAGTGCCAAACCCGGAGGCTGCTCCAAACAGGCTCATCTTGGCCCTAAAAAATAATGGGAAACGTTAAGGACAGGTCCTCTCTTAAGTAATAAACATCACTGAGAGGCAAGATAAAGATAATTAAGTTACGGAAGGGAAATAGAGAGTAAATAAATAAATGGCTTGATGTCAGGCTTCTCTCTTCTGAAGAGATCTAAATATGCGATAAGCAGAGTGCTTTTTAAAAATAAACTTTCTGTTTTAGAATAGTTTGTAATGGAAAATTCTTAAGACAGAAGAGCTCCGTGGGCTTCCCCGGTGGCTCAGTGGTTAAGAAGCCGCCTGCCAACGCAGGGGACACGGGTTCGATCCCTGGTCCGGGAAGATCCCACATGCTGCGGAGCAACTAAGCCCGTGCGCCACAACTACTGAGCCTGCGCTCTAGAGCCCACGAGCCACAACTGCTGAGCCCTCGTGCCTAGAGTCTGTGCTCCGCAACAAGAGAAGCCACCGCAATGAGAAGCCCGCACACTGCAACAGAGTAGCCCCCGCTTGCCACAACTTGAGAAAGCCCGCGCAAAGCAACAAAGACCCAATGCAGCCAAAAATAAATAAATAAAATTTTTTTTAAAAAAGAAGAGTTCCCATACACCCCACATCCAGTTTCCTTCTTAACTTTGTCACAATTAATTCACCAATATTGACACATCACAGCAGAGTATTTTTCAGTCACCAGGTAAAATATAAATTCGCTCATTTCTTTTTACACAGTTAGAGACACGCTGCTGAGCACCAGGAACACAACTGGAAACCAGCAGAAGGCCCCATTCTTCCAGCTTCCCACTTAGTGACAGTTCACTGTCTTTGTACTAATTTCTGCACTCTGGATTAGGTCAATATCTCTGCATGAAGTTACTTAGAAAAGCAACCAACCCTGGCAGCGATCGTAGGAGTTTAAAAAAAGTAATCCAGGGCTTCCCTGGTGGCGCAGTGGTTGAGAGTCTGCCTGCCGATGCAGGGGACACGGGTTCGTGCCCCGGTCCGGGAAGATCCCACATGCCACGGAGCGGCTGGGCCCGTGAGCCGTGGCCGCTGAGCCTGCGTGTCAGGAGCCTGTGCTCCGCAATGGGAGAGGCCACAACAGTGAGAGGGCCGCGTACCGCAAAAAAATAAAAATAAAAATAATCCATTTTGGTCTGCTTAAGTAGCAAAAGGTTTGGCATTATGTTTTGGACACTTGCCCAGCAAGAATCTCCCCACTTTGAGTTTTCTCCTGGGCACCATAGTCTAGTAGGCCCACCTGGGTTAGAACCATGCCTCTGCCACTCACCAGAGCTGGGACCCTAATCTCAGCAAGCCTCATTTTCCCTATTCTGCAAACATAGAGAATACTAACACCTTCTCCAGGGTTGTTCTGAGGATCAAATCAGATTATCTATATAGAAAGCACAGTGTCTACTGCATAGTGGGTCATAAACAACTTTCCCTTTTTTCCTTCCAAGGAAAAAGTCTATGTATTATAACTCTGATGCCTCACATACATCGATGCCACATTTTCGATTCTGTCATTGGTTAGTAAATGTTTACACCCAGAAGCCTACCATATCAGCAACCTCTCCCAAAGGAGGCTAGCACCTGAGTGACAAAAGTGACTAACCCAATAACATACAGCTCATGTGACAGGAGATAACAACAGTAGCATCTCTTAAGAAGACAACATAGAATGGGAAAACTGTGAGGAATTCTGGGGAGGTATTTGAATTTCCCGAGCTTTATGAAAAATAATCAAGTGTAGACCTACTAGGTCTATGAAAGCATTAGTATCTCAGAAAGCAACCTGTGCGAGGCCGTGGTGCTTGCTGACCGCCTCTGCCTCAAATGTTTGAGATGTATTTGAGACACCAGTTAACTGCACAAGCACACAAAGGAATGAAGGGCTTCTGCAGTCAAGTCCGGGAACTACATATATGATTTGGGCACATTATTTAGCCTTCATTTTCTCATCTGTAAAAACAGACCCTGAAATCCACTTCACAGAGTTACGAAAACCAAGTGAGGTTGTACACACAGTGCCTGAAACGCCTGTCCCTTCCTCTCTTCAACCATCAAGTTGGGAGAGAGCATTTCTACCATTAGGGACGAACTAAGGGAGAAGAACAAGGGCCATCGAGCATTACTCAGCCTACGTGGGCCACATGTTGTGCAGGACACCGAGAACCCTCTAGAAGTTCGGAAGACAAGCATACGTCTCCAGCCTACCGAAGCGCGCGCTCCTTCCCTCCTTGTTGCACCCCAGCTCTGATGGCTTCCTCGCTGCCCGCGAACAAAGCAAGCTCCTCCCAGCCCTGGAGCATTCCTACCAGCTGTTCCTCCAGCCTGGGGTGATCCGCCCTCCCCCAAACCCCCAGCTGTCTCAGTTTGAATCTTCAGGTCCCACTTCAACAGGGGCCTCCTGCGAACTTTTGAGGGTGATGGAAACGGTCTAAAACCGCACTGTGATGACGTATACACGACTCTATTAAACTTCCCCAAATCATCAAAATGTACACTTTAAACGGATTATTGTAAGTGACATTCAGTAAAGCTGTTAAAAGCGTCTTCTTAAAGGAAGGCCCCTCCCAGAGGCTTCCCTGCCTTCCTAATGTAACACATTGGAGCCTCCATCGCATCTCCGTCTTCTTCACAGCACCTGTCCCCATCTGGAACTTGTTGGCAGTCAGTCGCCTCCCCAGGAGAGTGCCAGCTCCAGCACGGCAAAGAGCAACCTGGACGCTCCCCTAAAACACACCTGGCCCTCAGCACAGCGCCTGGCACTTCACAGATACTTGCCAGGGCACAGTGTGTGCACGTGGATACTCGACTACTCGGCGGAGGGAACAGAAACAAAGAACCAGTTTCAGAGAGGGATAAATGCAACAAAGGAGATGAAACCGGTTACCATGGAGGAGACTAAAGGGGGATGGCCTTCCGCAGAAAAACGGTCCAGGAAGGTCAACGAGGTGGCGGCTTGTGTCTGATGAGAAGCCAGACGTGTGACGAGGAAGGGGAGAGGCAACAGAGGCTGCCATCCACTCTGTGACCCTTCCCGGTGCCTCGGTTTCCCCACGAGAAAAACGAGGCGGTTAGACCGGAGGTGACCCGTAAGGCCCCTTGCAGCTCTGACGTCCCTCCCAGGGGCCACTAATGGAGTTCGCCAACAGTCCTGCTCGTGCCCCAGCACCTCGCGGCGGGCCGCACTCGCCCGGGAGGACCAGGCCTCTGCGGCGCCATGGCGGCGGGGAACGCGGGGAAGCGGCACGAGGCCTACCTGAGAGTCGCGCCGCGGAGGGAAGCCGGCGGCGGGGAGCGGAAAGAGCTCGGGAGCCTGCGACCCCGCTCGGGCGCGGAGGAGGCGGTAGCGAGGTGGCACGAACAGGAATCCCGGGAGCCTGAGGTCTTCTCACGCCGGTCGAGGAAACCGCCCTAATTACCGCGGAGACATTGCGCATGCGTCTCCGAGCTACTTCCTGTGTTGTCCGGAAGGCAGGGAAAGGAAGGAAAAGGCTCCTCCTCCTTTAAGGGAATCGCACATGCGCAGAAGCACTATTGACGCCAAGAAGAAGTCCTCGTGCCAGCAGTTTGCGGATTGGTCGAAAGTTGGCGTAGCCGACGCAGCTGTGGAGCGACTGCTCTGATAAATCCGCCGGCCCGGCTGGTGAAGGTTAGTTAACAATTTTCTCTTGTGAATGACAAGTCTAGCAAAATTACGATTGCCGCCAGTTCTTAAGGCCATCCTTCGAGAAGCTGATGGGACGCTACCTGGTTTCCTGCCCTGGCCTCCCTATTTGCGACTGGGGTATCTTGAGCCATCTGGTCTCTTTGGACTTCAGTTTCCAGCTGTGAAATGGGGATAATAATGCCTAACTTCCAGGGCTATTCTTAATTAGGTTCAAGTAAAAGTAACACAATGAAGGCCTTTTACTAAGTGTAAGGTTCCGTAGGAATATTAAGGGGCTGTTATGACGCACACGTGCCAACTCCGAATATTTCAGCTGGTTGCTTTTTCCCCCTTTAAGAATGTCTGAGGGAAAAACAGGAAGGGATCTCCTGAGGTTGTGGTACATACACTGACCCTTCTCCTTTACTACTCACCGTGGGTTGCGTACCAAAAGCCTTGACATCTTCAAGGAGCCTGAGCATCCGCGGGACCTTGTTATAAAATGCAGTTTCAGAAAGTCCAGTGTGGGCCTGAGAACCCACATTTCTAGCAAACTCCCTGCTGAGGTTGCCAGGCCACGGACCGCAGTTGAGCACCGAGGATCTAGATGAGGTGTTTAGAATCACCTGGGGAAACTTTAAAAAAAAACTCTGATGCCTCACCCTCAGAGATTCTGAATAAGTTGTTCTGGGGTGGAACGAGGGAATTAATATTTTTTAAAAGCTCTCCGAGTGATTCTAAAATGCAGGCAAGGTTCAGAAACTCTCGTCTAAATAATGATGATAATAGTAATAGCTCCTTTAAGCACTGGATACTCCATCTCCTGTAATTTCTTTACCGAATGGATCATCTCATAGCATCTCTCAACTCTCAAAGCCCTCTCAAAGCTCTCTCAGTGCTTATCATATTCTGTCTCATAAGAGTGTGGGTGTATTTGCCTTGTCTAGCTTCCTAGATTTTAAACTTTGTGTCTTAAGCCCATGTATATAGCACCAAGCACAGTCTTACATATTTTGGTGTTTAATATTTGTCGAATTATATTTTCCATGCCCAAGGAATCTTCCAGAAGCCTCTGTTATGTACAATACTGGTTATTCAGCATGCTTAAAAAAAATCTTTCTGTTGTTTAGGGGTATGTAATCGACAAGCTGGTTTTGCATATACCATCAGTGGAACAATGGTAGCAGCATGTGTACCCAAATATAACAGTAACACTCCTTGACTCTTTCTAAAGAGTGTTATTTCAAACCCACACTTGTTCTCACAACGACACTATAGGTTAGGTATTATCACTATTATCCCCATTTTACAGTTGATGAAATGAAGTCCAGGTTGTAACTTCTCCCAGCTACAAAGGCAGTGAGTAGAAGTGCAATTGGGATGCAAGCAGTCTGCCCCTCAAAATATGACTTTAGAGATGGCAGTCTGTGGCTTCACCTCACTTTTTCCCTCAGAAACAAAAAGGAGGATCAAAACAATCTGTATCCATGGGTATGATTATTAAGCCAAAAGTCTAGGTGAAAATTTTTAAAAATAAGTAAAATTAAATTTTGGTCATGGCTATTATTCACATTAGTATACCCTTCTGCAGTTTTTTACACAAGGGAGTATTTATGAATGACTACACAGTTTATATTCCATTTCTAGGTAAATAGAAACTGAATGTTTGTAATTTTAGTATCAGTTCCTTTTCATTTGAAGTGATCTTTAATTCTGTTATTTTAATTAAAAAGTCCTAATATGTTGTCTTAAGGTTTTGTAAATAGCTTGGTTGCAACGAAGCACACATTAAGTGTAGCTTTACAAGGAATTGGGGGCATCCAAAGATGATAATACAAAATGGGCTCCTGTCTAGAAGTGCTCAGTCTCACACAGAAATCCTCATGGTTTCCCCAACCTCTTGTTGTGTCCCAGACTCTTCCACCCCATTCCTGAAAACAAGGACTTGAATATATATATATATTTTTTTAATAGATGTTTTTTGGAGTATAATTGCTTTACAATACTGTGTTAGTTTCTGTTGTACAACAAAGTGAATCAGCCATATGCATACACATGTCCCCATATCCCCTCCCTCTTGGGACGAATATATTTTAAATAAATGTCCATCTAAAACAGTGGAAGGATTTGAGAGAACATAGAGCTTCTGCCAGCAGAGGGAGACCTTGGCTTGTTTTTACAAGATTTTCTTGGGACACATAACCTTTAAATGATGAACAGAAGTCCAAACAAATGTAATGTTTCTCAGTAGTTAACTACAAAAACATCCTGTTGAAAATACTGTTTAGTATACATGTATTTGTGGCTTAGCTTTGACAGCATCTATTCTTTTCAGCACCACAGAACAGGTATCTACATCAAACAGTTCAACTGAGACATTCATTAAGGGAAGTTAAAGATAGAAATCCTGGAGTGTTTTTTGCCTATTTTGTAGAAAGTGCAATATGGGTTTCTTTTTTCATGAAATCATGACTTCTGAAATCAATTAGCATCATCAATGATGACGGTTAAATTTCCCAGAAACCTGGAGATATTACGAGAGCTTTTATTTTACGAGGGTGATTATGAGCCCTTAAGGAAAAAACCAAGATTCTCTGAACATCTTTTCGTTGCACCAGTTTTTATTCACTTTAATTATAAACAGACTCCAATCCAAATGTTCTTTCTTGATTAAAATTATGGAAATATTAAAAATAAATACAGATGGTAGAGACTGGAGCCTACCCGGGCTCTTTGGTGGGGCTAATGGCGGACTCTGGGAGGGCTCACGCCAAGGAGTACTTCCCAGAACTGCTGCTGCCAGTGTCCTTGTCCTCACGGTGAGACACAGCCACGCCCCTCCTCTGCAGGAGACCCTCCAACACTAGCAGATGCTAAAGAGATTCAGGGACTTCCCTGGTGGCGCAGTGGTTAAGAATCCGCCTGCCAATGCAGGGGACACAGGTTCGAGCCCTGGTCCAGGAAGATCCCACGTGCCACAGAGCAACTAAGCCCGCGAGCCACAACTACTGAGGCCGCGCGCCTAGAGCCCATGCTCCTCAACAAGAGAAGCCACCGCAGTGAGAAGCCCGAGCACCGAAACAAAGGGTAGCCCCCGATTGTTGCAACTAGAGAAAGCCCGCGCGCAGCAATGAAGACCCAATGTAGCCGAAAGAAAGAAAGAGATTCAGAGGAAGGGAGAGATCTATATAGGTTAAAACTCATTATGAGAGACTTCTTAGAAAGCTCATTCAAGAAATGGCTCAAAATGTGACATAGGGCTTCCCTGGTGGCGCAGTGGTTGAGAGTCCGCCTGCCGATGCAGGGGGCACGGGTTCGTGCCCTGGTCCGGGAGGATCCCACATGCTCTGTGAGCCATGGCCGCTGAGCCTGCGCTTCCTGAGCCTGTGCTCCGCAATGGGAGAGGCCACAGCAGTGAGAGGCCCACGTACCGCAAAAAAAAAAAAAAAAAAAAAAAATGTGACATAGCATAGAGCTGCTCCAAGTGTAGCTAATGGAGTCAGTGTAGTCCTCAAATTGTTAGCTGTCCATGATAAATTCAGAAAATAAGATTAAGAATTTAGAAACTTTTATAGTTGACTATTTTATGTGTTGAATCTAATAAGTGAGCTATAAAAAAATAAACAAATAAATAATAAATACACATGATAGAGGGGATGTCTGTTGTCAGTTGCCATTTTAAACAGCTGCCTATTTTACAGTAATACTCTTTAGAAACAAATCTTAAGAATGAGAATTCTAGCTGGTTCCCAAATAGCTACTAACATTAACTTTTCAGCTGCATCTGATAAAGACAGGGAGCAAAGCCAAACTCAGTGCATTTTGCTCTCCTCCCATTTTCATTTCCCAAATAAATGAAAATTATTTTAAGTAAATTTCCAAATATAAACTTGAAATGAATTTAATTATCCAAACTGAATGTATCTGCAAGCCTTCTTCAAATTTATTTTCAAATTTTAATGACTATTATAGGTTTTTTTATTCCTTCCCATTTTGACAGTATATCCTAATCCAGACATTTTGTGGCTTAACCATATATTTCTAAGTTAGTATTTTTCTCCTTTACAAAACTTGTCAAAATTCAATGATTATTAGCTGTTAAGGGAGGGAGTATGGCATAAATTCAAAGAAAAACTTGAGATTTATAAAATGTTTTTAGAATTTTCAATAGTCTCACAAGTAAGTCAAATTAACAGTTACCAAAGTGTTCTCAGAATGAAATACCTGGTTCTGATGTGACTAGAGAATATAACATAACAAGCTTGACATCACAGGCTTGATATCAGGGAGCCTTGATTTGACACGTCGCCAACAATAGAAATTGTAGACCCTTCCTGAGTGGTGTGCCTGCCCGGCCAAACGTGAAGCACTTTACAATGTACCAGTATCGCGATTACAGCATGAACTCTGGAGTCAGAGTCTCTGGGATTAGGTCCCAGCTCCACTGCTTGATAGTTATGTGACCTTGGGAAAGTTACTTAACCTCTCTACATGTTTGTTTCTTCATCTGTAAAATGGGGATGATAAGAAAGGCACCTAGCTCATAGGGTTTCTGTGAAAATGAAATTAATGTTCATAAAGCACCTAGAAAAATACCTGGCACATAATAAGTGCTATACAAGTATTTTCTTTCATTATTATATTTGACCTTATTTACCTCTTGATCAGGGCTGGCTTCATGGCTGTGCTACCTGTGCAGTCACACTGGGCACCAGGCTGAGAAGGGCCCCATGCTCGGTTTAATTCTCGGCTGCTGTCATCTTGAAATTCTTAATAACTCTTGAACAAGGGACCCTACGCTTACCTTTTGCACTGGGCCCCAAATATTCGGCACCCGGCCCTGCTCTTGAGGTAGATAGTGTTACTGTCCCCATTCCGCTACATCTGGCTGTGTGGCTTTGGACAAGCAACATCCTCAGTGTTCTCACCTGTAAACTATAAGTGTAACTACTGACCTGACAAGGCTCTTCTCAGGAGAATTAAATAAGATAACGTGTAAGCAGTGATTGGCATATACAAGTTCTCAGAAATATCTATTATTATTATTAATATTTATCTCAATAAAAAACTAACCCAACATTTCTTTACTTCTCCTATAAATACATAATCTTGCTTACAATTACAATAAACTTTCCAGTGCAGTTAAAACTTTATTGAAAGTACAGAATAAAATCATAAAACTCATTTCTGGAAAAATTAAGATAAGTTTATGAGAGGAAAAGATCACATCTTTACTGTTATAGAAAGGCCTTATTAAAACTTGAGGTTTCTGTTAATCTTAAAACAAGTTCTTTGTTCTCTAAACCTAGACTAGAGAAGAATTCAGGTGACTTGAATTTGGGTGAGAACTGATACAACCCTGGGGAAATTTTTCAAATAAGTATATTATGGAAAAAAAAAGTATGCTCAAAATCAAAACAAAGCACTGAAGACTACATCAATCCAAATATTTATTCATAATAAACATTACTAATTTCACAGTAAATGAATGAGGTATGACCCTTATACTATGAAGACAAAGGAAAATATAACTAAGAAGAAACTGCTGGACACTATCATTCATTTGCAACCTCTCAAAGTTAGGTTATTATTATTTTTGTTACTAATAAGATACTCCATGCCTCAACATTACTTGTATTGTAGAAAGTAAATAAAATATTTCTGCAGACTTTGATGACATGTGTAAACATTTTTTTCAAACAAAATTTAAAAGTCAAAATAACATACATTCTTTTATGATTTACTTTAGAACATAGGATAGAAATTAGTCTCTACAGAGAAGGATAAAATAAAGCCTTCTGAAGAAAATTAGAGTGCAGCATTTTTTTGACAAAAAATACAATTGACGGAAATTATTTTATTAAGACCATATGTTCTTTCCACAACAGCATCCACTGCTGAAAACAAAACTAACGAAAAGCCTCTTGCAATCACAAGATATATTCTGATATATTTTTTATATCCATCCTCCAAATTTTAATTTGTTGGGTAAGTACACTCTGGAAAGATAATCTGATGATAGGAAGGTCAAAGCTTGAATTTCTGCCTTCATTTTAGAGTCTGCCATTATTTCCATCTGTCAATAAAAGTAAAATATAATCATACCAGAGTCCTTTGCTACAGTTCTGTCAACTCAAACTGGTAAATCTAGATTTGTTTTATCCTCCAAAGCCATCGGCAATAACCTTTAGGTCAGCCGGAATATTCTGGAGCTGCTACAGCTAAAAATATTAGTATGGATTCCTTCAATAATTAGGAATGGTCTGGGATCTTTATAATTTCCTTCTCTCCTTTTTTCCCCCATGAACTATGATACAGCCATAGACAATGGGTATATAACTATGATGAGGATAAACTAGATCAGCTCCACCCAGCTGATCTTATCTATTAGCATTCACAATTCAATGTTTCTACAACCATTTACTGCTGAACAACACACACGTTAGTTGTTGGTTATATAAAAATTCAAGAAGGGGCTTCCCTGGTGGCACAGTGGTTGGGAGTCCGCCTGCCGATGCAGGGGACACGGGTTCGTGCCCCGGTCCAGGAGGATCCCACATGCCGTGGAGCCACTGGGCCCGTGAGCCATGGCCGCTGGGCCTGCGCGTCCGGAGCCTGTGCTCCACAACGGGAGAGGCCATAGCAGTGAGAGGCCCACATACCGCAAAAAAAAAAAAATTCAAGAAGGATAGTTCCAAAATATTATGTAAATAGCCACTGCTAAAGTAAAAGGCAATAAAACGTACATTTGAATTTTAAAAAGAAACATACTTCTTTTCTCCAAAATGGTTGGCAAGTAATATAAGGTCTCTTCAGGATACTGTCAAGTTTCATTTGGTCCTGTTTAGTCAGTGGAATTAAAGTACCTTTAGGTATATTTAATCTGGAAAAAAACAGATGAAAGAAATCAGTAAAAACAAAGTGCTCCTGTAACTTTAAGGTCACATATATTTCATTTTTATTTATCATACTATTTCAAGAGACTCAGAAATAACAGATGCGAAAATTAGTACAGATCCACTTTTAAATACAGAATTTGGGGGATCTGGCATGTCTTAGACCAGCAAATGTTCAAGATCATAGCAGAAGTCTGTTTTAAGTTGTTGTTTTCTTTCATGCCACACTCACAGGACGATGACAGGAAGACAGACATTGGTTATAAAACAAATGCCGAGAACACTAACATCATGTGTATCAACACCAAGGCAGCCCCCAGAGCACCACAGTTTTGAAGCAGTGAGCGCCAGTATGTGTGGCCAGCAGCAAGATCCACTGTGGGATTTTAGGTTCCACTGAATACTTAATTCTCTGTAATTCATTGAGAATTTTCTGGGCCGAAGAAGTTAGTCTATCAATTTTCACTTATGCATTCATGCATGCACACAGACATACACACATCTATTTAGTTTTACACTTTTAAAAAGTAGATTGTAATTTTATCTTGGTATATGTTTTAAAAACAGAACATGAGAGGTCCAGGATTTATGTTGTGAACTGCTTTTTGAAGTCACAAATCCTGGATTTCTCAGGAGAGCTCCAGTTTCAAACAGTCTTCTTCAATGTCCCCATAATTATGACCATTTGCCAGCGGCAGCTCCTGAATAGGATGACAATCTGATTGAAAGGGAGGCCGAGAGGGTTTCCCTTGAAGCCATGTTTGCGTTGCTATCATACTTTTTTCTTTGATTGTACATTTATTTAGAGTGGCTTTTGAGGGCACTGATGGAATTTATGAGATGCAGCTAGAGTTTCTTCAAGTTTTCCACCTCAATAATCAGATCCTCTGTCCTAAAGTTGTGTTAGAAATGATATTCCTACAAACAGACGACCCCCAAGGGATTCTGACCATGACATACACACTAAATTGACAAAACTTTGATTCACTAGAGCGAAAACATTCAAAAATCGAAAACTGAATGTTTTCTCTGGTGCCCTCATTTTGTTAGAAGCAGTGATTACCCAAAACCTGTTCCTATTCCATATTTATAAAATAAGCACCTGTTACCACGGTTTGCTCACTGCTTAAAGAAATCCAATAAATGTTTAATTTCATTCTCACTGGCTAATTAAAACGATAAAATATTTTAAAATATCACAATAGCAGAGATGAATAAAGTGATAACGTCTCATGCTGAAGGACAGATGGGCTCTTACTCTCCAGGGAAAACAAAATAATTAACCTATCCAGAGGGCAGTCAAAGCCTTAAAAATGTGCATACCCTTTGACCCAGCAATTCTGGGAATTCGGCCTATGGGACTAATTAAGGATACGGGGCAAAGATTTAGTTACAAGATGGTCCATCAAAGCACTATCCTTTGGAACAGAGACGTGGAAACCACCCAAACTTTCAGCTGGAAGGGGCTGACTGAATAAACACACTCAAAGTTGGAACTCAGCAGAAGACTTTCAAATGAGGTCTTAGGAATGTATTTATTGATAAGGAAAAGTGATCACATTGTGTTATGTGAGAAAAGCAGACTACAAAATAGAGTATGACTCCATTCTTTTGGAAGAAGTTATGGCAAGGCACAGCAGATAATCAACAGGGGTAAAGCTGCTCATCTGTAGGTGACTTTTATCTTGTTATTTAATGATATTTTTTCTATAATGAACATATAGATATTAAAAATGACAAAATTTAGATTTCCCAACTTTAATCGTAAAATGAGATTTTTAAATGAAGTTAAAATTTTAAATCTATGATAAAGTTAATTCATATGGCAAATGGTGTTGTCAATGATTACCATTTAACTAGATTCAATGTCTTCATACTTTCTAAGTATAAAAAAAATTACTAAACACTTTAACCATAAAGGTAAAACAAAAAATGTCTTCTAGCTAGCTAAAGGTTCAATTAACCAAATATATTTAAGTATTTTAGTAGCTGAAACAGAAACATGGATAAATGTAATTCATAATTATATAATCCCGAGTCATTGGGAACACGATAAGTAAAAACCGTTAAGTGCTTTCCCTGGTAGTGACTTTTTAGGCTGAGTGTTACATATTACAATGAATCATCATTTAAAATATCCTACTTCTGCTAACCGCCTAACCTTTTGATATCAGAAGGGAGGAGACCAAGCCATCTAATAGCTGGAACTGTGAGATTATGGGCTTCAAAAGACATAGCCTAAAATAGAGAGCAGAAGTATATTAGCTAACGTATGCTGAGAGCTAGCATACTTGTTTTTGCAGCCAATTTTTTAACTTATTAGGAAGGACCAGTACTGAAGACTTCACACCCCCAGAGACCACAGAAGTTAAGAAAATCACCAGGGGCTTAGCTAAACTCGACTTTCAGTGGAGGTTTTAAAACTGCTCTGTAGTATTTCTGTATTGGTTTTCTATAAAGTAAAACTACAGATGACCCCTCTGACCTGCATTTACTGTTGTTCGTTGATTCCATACCTTAACACCTTGCTCCACCATCCTTTTCACCTGCTATAAACATATACGTCAGGACACTCAAGGTGTACACCAATGGTTCCCAAACATCACCATGTGTCAGAATCACTTGGAGTGCCCACCCTTGGAAATCCAGACTCAGGAGGTCTGGATGGGGATTGAGATTTGCATTTCTAACAAGCTCCCAGGTGATGCTGATGTCCAGGACCACATTTTTGACAACCATTGATGTGTGGTAGTTGCAGTCTCCAGTGGTGAAGTTTGGTGATCTTCTCATTTCTCCTTATGGTTGGAATTGGAAAAGTCAGAATTCAAGGCTCTATATAATTTTCAGGGTATAACTGGTGATCAGTGTTGCTATGCTGAGGGCCCACAGTTACTTCAGCAGGCCAGGAAAGTGGAGGATAATTAATGCCTCTTGCCCACAGGTAATCCCACTCTGTCATCTGCAGTCACACTGGTCATGTTGGAAGCTGGAATCACAGGTCTGAAATAGACTGGCCCTAGACTAGGACAGTAGCTTCACTGGTACATTTTGGGGGCCCTTAGCTTACTAGGGGCTGATAAGTAAATGCAGAAATCACTTCAGTGAATATAAAATATCTCAATAGTGAAAAAGGAAAAATATTTTTCTATACTTACCATAGATCCATACTTATAGATACACATTATTTCTATGCCTGTTAAAAGGAAGTTAACTTTAAAATTAGTCTTCTTGCATATTATAGGCTAGATAATTATACCTAACATCTGCAGTTTTTATTTTTGTGGACATTACAAATGGAAGATTTATGGTTCAGCTTAACACGGTAAAAACAGCGATAACCTGCCCCAAATGATTACAGTCATTCATTTTAATCTAATAATCATATTCTTTTAATTTTTTTTTTTCGGCCACGCTGCACAGCATGTGGGATCTTAGTTCCCCAATCAGGGATTGAACCTGTGCCCACTGAAGTGGAAGTGCAGAGCCTTAACCACTGGATGGTCAGGGAAGTCCCAGAATATTTTATGAAAGTGTTCTATGAGCAGAAAAAGACAACTACAGATATGATTTATTATGACTATTGTTTCAAATAGTCCAACAATAAATTACCATGTGGATCAGCATCTACAAGAGTGAAAATAGGAACGTGAAATGTATCCCACAGCTTCTTGACTAAAAGTCTTGTGTTCAGATCAGGTACTCCCTTTCCCTAAAAGCAAGTATTGAAATCATTTAGTAGAATGAAACTGATAAAACTATATTCTTATTTTGTTAATAACTTAAAAGTTAGATCCCCTCACCTTAAATTTCAGGTGATGGAAGACTGGTTTTGACTGTGAAAAAATGTACACTATATACAACAGGGTGAAAAAGCCCACCTAACTTCATACCTTTGACAATTATCCCAGTCCTAGAAAATAATCCTAAGGAAATATTTCAGCAGAAACAGAGATAAGAAAAATCTGACATACACAAAGATGTCCACTGCAGGGTTATTTAACAGGACAGAAACTATGATAAATAGCCAAACTATCTCACAACAGGGACATGGAGAGGCAGCAGAGCACGGTGGTGATACGCACCAGCTTTGGGGCCAGACAGCCTGGGCTGGCATCTGGCTCTGCCACTTCTCAGCAGCATGAACCTGAAAGAGTCACGAAGACTCTCTGAAGTTGGGGCTTCTTAACACCTTAGAAAATTACTATAGGAATTCAATTATTTAACGATTATAAAGCATTTAAAAGAGTACCTGGCTTACATTCAGAATTTAATAAACCTAAGCAGTGGAAGAGTATTATGAAGTCATTAAAACAATAATTATGTGGAAAAGTAATTTAAAGAGCTTTACAACAGTGTTAGGAGAAAAAAGCAGAAAACCAAATGAAACATGGAGCAGAGAAGGAAGCAAGCAGAGAGAAGAATGGGCTTTCCACGCAACCGCTCTGAGTTTGAACTCCCTCTCCGCCAATCATTAGCGGGTAAAGTTGGGTTGGTTTTCTTAGTGTCTTTAGGCCGTGGTTTTATTTATAAAATTGGGATAAATATGCCTGCCACACAGTTACGGGACTAGAGCGACGTGGAGCTGAACTGCCTAAAACCCAGTCCTAGTTTTGACCAGCCTTAAGATTGTGGTAAAATACCTTCCTGGGTCCCATTGTCCTATTGTTAAAATGGGGATGATAATAATACCTACCTCACAAGGTTGGAGAGACTTTACACGTTGATATGTGAAAAACAGCCCTAAAATGGGAACCCTTATTGTATCCAGTGCCCGGCAGAGCTCCTGGCACACCATGAGCACTTAGTGAATGCTAGTGTAGTTTAATTCTTTCCTTTGGGAACGACTACACCTGTACGTGGTAGAGGAGACCACAGAGGAGTGCCAAAGGCTCCTTCCTAGCCTGGCCCTCGGTTCTCAGCTCCCCTCTGTAGAGACCACGACTACAGGTCAGCTGCTTGTGGGTGTTTCACCATAGCAATGACAGCAATTATCAGTGGACACCATGATAGCACCAACGCGTAGGTAGGCAAGGACTAGGAGGCAGCCTACAAGAGGAAAGACAAGGTAGAAAAAGAAATGTGACAGAGAGCCGAGCTTTACTTGTGTCTCCGATGCGCCAGTACCAGCCGTGATTCAAACGCCAACAGCTGAACAGAGGCCGGGGCCCGGGCAGCTTTCTCTGTCGGTAGTGGCTTGGCTTCCTATCAGCCCAGCATGCACTCTCACCAGGGAGGTGTGAAAGCGGAGGAGGACTGGACCAAAGCGTGAGCCACAGGACACCCCCGCTGAGAGATCACTCCAGGGGTTCAGGTAGCGCCTTTATTACTTATGAGCTCTCAGCCTGCATTTTCCATCTCAACCGTTCTCCCCTCACTTCAAACTGGGCAGAGGCCACTAGGATTTCCTGCTATCATCTCAAATTCACATTTCTAAAACTACATGCAACATCTTTCTGCCGCGAAGAGCTGAGCCTTCCCGCCAGTTGTCCTGTAGTATCGACGGTGACATCACGGTGAAGTTCCACACACCAGAGTCATTTTGACTCCTTCCCCTCATCCCGTGGTCACCACGTCCTTTTGGATTTGCCTTGGAAATGCCCTTTGCTTAAGCCCTTTCTCCTTAATCATTCCCCTGGCATCCTTCCACCCAGGCAACCACCTGAGAGCCTCTGGACAGGCTCCCCAGATCCAGCTATGATGTTCTTCGTCTAACTGATGACGCTGCCGCACTAGCCCTGTCATTTCCGTTCCCACCATCCACTTTTGTAAGCACCTGATACTTACACTATATCAGGATGCCTCCTGGGGGGCGTTATTTGATTTCAGTCAGATTTGAGGATGGTTAAATAAACACCTTGGAAATGCTTGTTCTATAATCCCAAAGGATGCGTCATATTGATAACAGAATGCTGTCCAAGCTTATGGATGATGTTATAAACCCCTCTTACCAATCACCAATGTAGTGTGTTAGTTTTGGAATTGTGGTAAAGGTAGATAATATACCGTAACCATGATGCACGGAGACATTTTGGTGCAAAAACTGTCATCTAGGAGCCGCTGAAATGTCGCATCTTTTTCTACAATTAATAGAAATTTTGCATCTGTAATTAAATCTGTGAAGTTAAGGCTGATAAATTTAAGGCACGCGTATTTCAATTTAACCACTAACTAAATAATGGTTATATTTGAAGGTAAACAGATATCTATTCACACACGGTATTTAGATATCTGTCTCTCCTACTAGATGGTGAGCTCCTAAAAGGATCTTTAAAAAGGGACCATGGTGTGCTCATCTTGACCACTACAGGGTTTGGCTTGTTGGTTACACATTATGAAGGCTTGATTTATCAAAGTCATGGATGAATGAACATTCTAGACGTTTAAATAGTTTTCCCAAAGGATACTCTGAATTCCTTGAATATTAGATGGCACAGCAACAGCCTAAGTTAACAAAACAAGACAGTTTTTATTTTAAATAAATAGCAAGTTTAACGACATTTAAAAATTTATCACAAAAATCCTATATTTTCATTAAAAAAATACACCTGTTTTCAGAGGTCTATGCCTCAGTAAAAAAACAGTAGGACACAGATTTACTTTTCAGTGAGAAAACTGACATATGACCTAAACTACTTCCCAGAAGGTGAGAATTTCTTGGAAATTTTATAGATATGTGGCTTAAAAAGCAGAAACTGATGAAGGAAAGACTTCCTTATGCAGGATCTCATAGGTGTCATTCTCCTCCTTCCAAAATGGTGAGCTGGCCCTTTCCAAACTTCTGTGCTAGTTCAGTACTGGGGGCTTTCTACGTACCAAGCCTAACAAATAGTTTAGTAACAAACATTAATTTCAGAACCAGATAATTTTATGAAGATTACATAAATAACCATGCTAAAATGGTCAGGTCACACTCTACCTGAAAACAACAGTGCATTTTTAAAAGGAATGTGTATGTTTGTTTCTTTCAATATGACATTTGGCAAGTGGCATGTTTTGAAACTATGTAATGTACAACCCTGTACAGCATATACATATTCATCGATTTTATTTTAAAATCTTAAGCTCCAAACTACATAACAAGGCAGTAAATAAAATGCATTTCAAAAACAAACGATCTGAAATGGAGTTAAAACACGTGAAAACATTAATGATGCTTACTGTTGCACATGCACAATTCACCTTGGTGCCATCTTCCTCGATATACCTTAAATTGCCAGCAATTAAACCTTTTGATGTAGATAACTGAAAAAATAATAGACATATCTGAAACCTCTCTCTTGAGTTTACTTTATGCCTCTAAGTCCCTTCTCATGTTCACCTCTTAATTATATGTATTTTGGCTCAGACTGGAATTTAAGAAATAAAGGAGAAAATATGTAAGAGCATTTAGAAATGAAAAATATTTGATAATTCATCTGTCTTGGTTCATTTATCCAAGGGAATACAATGAGAATAGATTATTTAAATTCATAGTGAGAAAAACATAGTATCAAAAATATGGAAAGAAGGCACAGATTACATTTATTCTTCTATTACAATTTTTATATGTTTTGTCTTAAAATATTTTGTATTAAATGCTACTTACTATATGCAGACTTCTCCTCGGCACTTTTAACATACAGGAAATATCATTGATAATATTGTCCACAACAGTCTGGTTACCAAAGAGTTGGCTGTCGGTGTAATATATGTCTCTATGAAAATTTTAAAAATATATATTTTAATTAACCATATTCTCTTTGAATATAAGTATTGGAGTATTAATTGAAGAAAGCTTTAACTGGGTGAAGGCAACATATGAGCAAAGTAGTTTACGACCCATAGCCTAGTTTTATGTAACTTTTCAAAACATATAATGAAAGTTAATGCCACTAAATCTCACACTGCATTTTAAAGAGTAATTTATTAGAACAGTGTACTTACCGTTTGGTTGCGTAAGTGTTGCTCTGTACTAATTTATAAATCATGGACAATATTTTAAGAATTAGCGCTGGAAAATAAGATGCAATAAACAAGTTACTCATCATTTTTCTTACAAATTCAAAACATACTGCTATCAAGGATTTTAACTGTCCTCAGTTACTTTCCACAATATTACAAAAATTATCTTCCCAAAGTAGAAGTGTTAAGTACAGAATAATAATTGCCTGAAGAATCAGATAAAATTAATTGCTCTATGTACAGCAAAATTGAGAGAATACTTTTCCACTGAATCATGCATCTTGAAAATTTCTTTTGAAATAATACTTCCATGGTTATTAACAATGCAAAATTCTATAAATTTATTTCAAGTACAGGGTGGCCTATTAAAGAACAAGTAAAACTATTTAGCTAGGAAAAACTATAACCCAGAAGGTAACCAAAATTATTTATTTTACTACAGAAAGCTAAGAAAGATTAATTTACCAAAAGTTTTAACTGATTTTGGTGAATCACTTTTGATTTTTCTTGTGGTACAATGAGATACCATGTGAAGACCCACAGAATCTTCAAACCTGTCATTTTGTTTAAAGCAAGGGAATAGAATAAAGAAGAATTAACTTTTGAACACCAAACAATATACACTTAATGTCCTCTTCTGAACATCATTTAAATCCCCATTTCTTCTCAACGTAAGCACTGATATATTATATTATGATAACCTCGTTTATAAGCTTAGATAATTGCAGGTGGTAATTAGGTAATTAGCTTTGCAACACACAGAGGCACTAAAAGCAAGTGTGTAAAATACGTGAATTAAATACCTTTAATTATGATGTGTGTGTGTGTGTGTGTGTGTGTTTCTTTCCCAGGAAGATATTTAGGGTAGGTGAACTATTACCAAATATTTCACAATTTTATTAGCATTTTGCTCATTTTCTTGATTGGTTTATTTAATAATTTTACTCAATTTAATAATAAGTTTTGAAATGTTTTGTTTAATTTACCCCCAAAGTTACAGTAAATGAAATAACAATTTATACTAGGCTGTTAAATTGAACTGCCAAGCCTGTCCTAAAGGTGGCAGAAGGCACCAGGCAAATAGGCCAGGTGACAGTTGCTTCAAGATCCATCTTGCAAAATATGATTCAAAACTTTAGTTACATTAATTACACTGATCATAAAAGAATACTTAGTGCCTAGAGAGCCTTAAAATTACTTTAATTCTGTTTCTGTAACTCTTATTGAAGACTATTCTTGTAGTATTTTTCATTATTAAGTGGTAAGTGTCTACAGGTTGACGATCTGAAAGAAACAAACTATGTAACTAGGTTCCAGGACTTTGATAAAGCTGTTTGCTGATTTTACCCTCTTGGACACAGGACTTAGCAGGGGGAGATTTGCTAGGGGAAAGAGCCATCAAAATATGCTCTATGTTCAGGATACATTTATTTTGGTCTCAGTATCAGGACTGGTTGTAGCTCTTCTGAGCAAGTGGTTTGCTTTTGCAGTATAGATGAGAATTCCACTGGTGTTATTTCCCCCTTTTGAGTGCTAGAAAGCTTAGATCCAAGTCTGGAGCCTATTTTTAGCAGGACTGTGAGACTTTATCATATGCATTTTGAATTCTAACCCCTTTTGGTGCTCCACTTTTTGTTCCTAGCATTGTTTTCCCTTTGCCTTATCTTTCACACCTACTTCTAGTTTATAAAACCTGCCTGTATGGTATGTATTTTGTAAACTTCCTTAGATCTTTTTGGCAAGGTAAAGGCAATAAAAAGAATTAAATCCAACTAGAACTCGAACTCAAACTCAAATAATGACATAGATACCGCATTTAAAAGTAAAAAATGCAAAATGCCCACTTTATATTTTCCCAGCTTGATCTGTTGTCTATTGTGAATGCAGGTGCTTCATTTCTTGCCAAGCTTGTGATTATGTCTTGGATAACATTTTCTATAGCTGCAAGAACCTCAGAACTGAAACAATAAATACACCATGATTCAGTCTTAATTCTAAATTAGACCTTTACAGTATGTAACATTTCCCCAGATCAATATTAAAGTAATTTTTAGTTTCATTGGTTGTTTTTTAAGACTAGGTGATACATGTCAATAATATTCTCTCCCACTAAATTTTTTAACAGTAATGCATTAAAACAACAACTGTATTTATAGTGGTGAATTACAGAGAAATTTCATTTGCTTGTAATTTTACTTCTCAATTACCAATTGAAGTAATATCTCCCTTTTAAATTAATGACTAGACAATATAATTTATAAATATATTTTTATCTACTCTTCGTATCAACCTACTTTAAATACAAAATCATTGACTTGAAATACTACTGATAAATCTTTTAATTAAAATTGATGTAATACTTGCTTTAATTTCCCCAAAACGCAAAGCGAAAATATTTCAGAAGAAAAACTTCATGCTGTAGCACGTTACCTTAATTGATCTCATGCCATAAATCAGCCCTTTTGAATTTTAGTGACACAAAAAGAAAAAAGTTTAATCACTACCATAAAGGGACTTGGCAACTACTACACCACAGAAAATCATTAAGACTTAGCCCAGTTTTCTGTCAGCTGACTTTTAATTTCACAAGCCATCAGCTTCAAAAAATGTTATTCTGTTATAAACACCGTAAGAATATTGCCTAGGAAGGGAACTCATATTAAATCTAGAAAATGCACAAAATGTAGTGTTCTAATTTCCACAGAAACATCAGAGTTTTCATGGAAAATGCATGTATCAGAAAATAAATTTTAAAACATTCCATATTTTCTAATAACAGGATGCAAAACCTGATTCAAATATCTCATTTTTCCAGCCTGGAAAAAAAAAGTTACGATAACATTATGACCAACTTTAAAACAACCAGATTTACATCTGAAATGTAAAAAGGGACTTCCATCCCTTTCTTTCCTTTACTCTCAATTCTCCCTTAAACTAAATCCTATTGTAAAAAAATTTTTGTGGGTTTTTCCGGCTTTTTGGTTTTTTGGTAGTTGGTTTGGGCTTAAAAGTAAAAGGCAGTAATTTGTTTAAGTGAAAAAGTTTGCTGATAAATGGGAAAAGCAGATCAAGGAAGCAGAACAACAGAGCATTTCAAGTAAAAGTGGTGAATAATGTAAACATAATTTCGGTAGTTAACGCTAAGCTGGGCAGCTGGAGAATCCCGTAACTGATGTTATCAGCACCGCACTCTGAGCTAACCTCTAACTGCTTTAATCGATTTAAAGAAGTGAACATTCTCTTCACTTCGAAGTCAAAAACCCCATTGTCTCACTAGAAACCATTTAAAATGTGTTGACTTCCTTGCTCCTTTTGATAAAACACACTAATTGAGAACTCACGAGATTGATTTTCCCCTCTTCCAAAAAAAAAAGCCTGAAAACTTCTAAAGTTAAATTTTTACACTTTTTCTTTTTAAACAAACACAAGGCCAAACTGTGCCCTAAACTCCCCCAAACTGTTAGGATTTCAAGAAACTCGTGAACCCAGCTGTGGGGAGGCTCCTGGACCATTCTAGAGGGGGAACACTCTAGAAGACATGGGAGGAGGGTGGTCTGTCACCAGGCTTTCCGAGTTCAAAATAAGTTAACAGCAGAGAAAGGGGTTTTTCGCTAAACAAGGGCCTTTCTCGGGGTTCAGGGTTGGCGGGCCCAACAGGCTTCACCCTGTGGCCGCCACAGTGGGAGACGGGATGGGGGCCCAGCATTTCCCCACAGAACACCTCAAGCCCGGCTGTGCCGAGGAAGCTTTTTGCTAAGTCCCGGTGTCTGCGCCCCAGACGGCGCCCTCATACCTAGTGGCCAGGTGCGTCCCCCCGCCAGCGGGCTCCCTGCCGCCTTTCCTCAGGGCGGCCAGCAGGGAAGCCCTGTGCTGGTCCAAAACCTGGAAGAAAGAGGCCTCAGGACCTCTGGGTGCAAAGGCCATGAGGACCGCCCGGCAGTGAAAGCGTCCAAGAGCAGGAACTTGACTTGGCCGGATAGCGCCCTTCCCCGCACCCACAGAGCACTTCCGGGAAAGGATAGAGCTCCTTTCCCGCACTTTCCGGAGAGGGCTGACCGCGCATGTGCACACCTCACCCCCTTCCCCAGACAGAGCTGGACCAACGCATGCGCATAGCACCTCCATTGAGTGAGGCATGCGTGCTCGGGGCTCTCTCAGGCGCAATCCTACCTGGGAGGGAAAGAGAGGGACCGTTGACTGGGTGCCGTCTGGCAGGTATGGGAACCAGCCTAAGGGGCCAGAAGGGTATGCTTGGAATGTGGGACCTAGATTTGGGACCTTGAAATTTTTTTTTTTTTTTCGCGGTACGCGGGCCTCTCACCGCTGCGGCCTCTCCCGTTGCGGAACACAGGCTCCGGACGCGCAGGCTCAGCGGCCATGGCTCACGGGCCCAGCCGCTCCGCGGCATGTGCGATCTTCCCGGACCGGGGCACGAACCCGCGTCTCCTGCATCGGCAGGCGTACTCTCAACCACTGCGCCACCAGGGAAGCCCGTTGAAATGGTTTTACGTCTTTTTTTTTTTTTTTTTTGGCTATTTATAGAAAGTAGTACCAGCGATTTTTCACTGAAACAAATAGTTATGGCTATCCAACTGTGTGTCAGATACAGCTCTAGGCACTGGGTTCGTCTCAGGATCTAGGCAAACAAAATTCCTGCCCTTGCCAACATTTATGAAGTAGTTGAGGGCTTAAAAGCCCATTTCACTCAGCCTCTCTCTTTTAATTCTCATAACCACGCCAAGAGTTTCCTAATATGATCATGGGGATTTTGCAGGAGAGGACAAAGTGAGGTCCACAAGCTCAGGCAGGCCTGGGTTAACATCCCAGCTCTATCACTTTGTTGGCTTGCCAGATTTAGCAAATTATAATACAGGACCCTCAGTTACAATTGAATTTCAGATAAACAGTGAATACTTTTTTTAAGGATAACCAGGTTCCATGCAATCTTTGGGACATACTTTTACTAAAAAATTATTTCATTGTTCATCCGAAATTCGAATTTAACTAGTCGTCCAGTATTTTAACCTAGCAACCCTGCCCTTGCAGGTTTGGTGATTTGAGCCTTTACCCCTGCTCTCTTCTAGAGCAGAAGATAGGAATTCTGAAGCCCTGGGGAAGGAGTCCTGCCTCTGGGGGACAATTTCTTTGAGAGAGAGGACAGCGGGGAGAGGCCCTGGAGCAAGGTGGCTCTGAAGCCTGTGGAGGCAGGTCCTTCATGGATGGGGTCCTGGGGGCTTTGCCCCAGAAGAGCCACTTGACATCAGGCCCTCTCCAGAGAGCTGTTTTGTTCTCTCAGTTCCTGGTGATTTGATAGTGTTGAAACAAAACCTGCTTTCCCATCATAAATAACAAACTCTCTCTGTTCATAATGATGAGTGTCTGTGCTGAGCCCGGTGCTGAGGGTCTTCGTTATTATCAACACAAATACTTCCTCACCGCCTACCCTGCACTAGGCAGTTGTAGTTATTGAGGTCACGTCTGTGAGCAAGGTGGACAGAGTCCTTGCCTTTAGGGGACTCACAGTCTAGGGGAAGGGGGGAAGTGAGGAGAAATAGGTGAACACTTAAATAATTAACTTGGCAGGGTGACTTAAATCAACAACCCTAAGCTGTAAAAATTATTCTCCCCACTTCACAGGTGAAGAAACTGAGGTTTGGAGAGGCTGAGCAGTTTGGGCAAGATTGCATTGTGGTTGGCGATGGAGCTGGAAGGAAAACCTTGACTCCCCAGTGGAGCTCTTACCGCTAGATTATGAGGCACCACTGAGGGTCTGCCCGGGAATGCATCATAATTTTGCGGGGGTTTCTTTGGTGGTGGAATTACCCCTTGGGCCTCAGCTTTTTCATCTTTCAGATGAAGGCATTGCAGCAGGTGGGTTCTCCGTGAGAAACAAACAAATAAAAGGCCTTTGAAGGGAGGAGCTGAGTCAATGACACCATTGAGGCTTGTCTGCTGGGAGGCACCTCTCTCCTGGGACAGAAACCATCTGACCACTGATCTCTGTCTCTCAGGAGGGCAGACCCTTCTGTATCACGTAGCGCTACACTCAGCCAGGAGCCAGCGGCCTCACTAGACCTGACATGAAATGCAAGGTCCTGAGCTGGGCGGGGGCCCAGGGAGGGGTTCAAAACAGTGAAGGGAACAAACCCATAATAAAGCTGGCTTTCCTGTGGGGAGAAACCGCAAGGTGCAGACTTGAAAGGGCCTCGCTGGGGTTCCCACTGCGCAGACCAAAGGGGGAGGCCTTAGCCCTCCTCCCAGGCAGCTGCAGCCTTGCCCTCAGGTCTCCACCTCCACTCAGGTAACTCTCGCATGCACGCCGAGCACCTCCTTCACATCAAAGTGAAGCCTAGCCCCGGGCTGAGAGGAAACCAGAAAAACAGATTCCACCCCTAGCAACAGATTGCAGAGGAAACTTGCAGATACCACTTTGCAGGGCAGTCCCAGTACCAAGTTCTTTCTTCCTACTGGCCGGCTGTGCTCACACAGGGACAGGGGGTGGGGGGACTCCCCAGATTGTGTTCAAACTGCATTCCGTTGGGAAAATCAAAAGCTTTTCCCCAAACCTTACTAGTGGGTCTTTCCTCCAAGCTCAGCCTGTCACTTAGAAACTTGTTTGAGGTCCAGAGCCTCCATGAGGGTTGGAAAGAGCATCGTTGAAATTAGGTGCAATTATCGTTTCCATGTCTAAGGCATCAAAAAAGGGAAAGGAGGTGGGGAAGGATGGGGCGGCCCTTCCAGCAAACCAGACGGGAGAGGATGCTGTGCTTGTTAGATTTTTTTTTAAGTGTTTTTGTTTTTTTTTTTAAGCAAATGTGAATGAATTTTAACTTGTTGTAGAATTCTTGAGAGGAAAAGAGTAGAGAAAATGCTATCATAATTTCTTTACTTCTTGGGGCTTTATCAGGTGTTTTGTACATGTTTTTTTAACTTTTAAAAAATTATAAGAATGACACATACTTCCATAAAATATTTACGTAATTCAGAAGGTATGAAGTAAAAATGAAAGAAACCCTCGCCCATCTGCAGCCACGCGCTACCCCACCTCCACTTGTCCTGCTTGGGACTCTGTGATCTTTCTGAGCCTGGAATTAGTCCTTCTTGCCCTGAGGGCCTTTGCACTTGCTCTTCCCTTAACAGCTTGGAATGCTTTGTCCTTTTTTCTCTCCCACCTCTCCGCCCTCCCTCCCTAAATCCAACCTGGCTAATTCTCCTGTGTCCTTCAGATCTGGTCTGGACCTCTCCCTGCACTGCCCCTAAGTCTTGACCCCTGTTTTCCCCTTGTCTCGACATGCCCTCCTTTCTCTTCCCAGGAGAGCAGGGGCTGTGCTCAGGCAGTGGCCCCAGTTCCCCTGTGCCTGGCACACGGAAGGTACTCACTCAGTTGTGTTTGTTGAATGAATGAATGACTCCCTGTGGGATTATCTCTCTGTAATCTCTTTGTAGTATTTCATCCCAGTCATCTTTCTGCAGATGCCTGAAGAAGCATAATTTTTTTTATATGAATAGACCCTACTCTGCATTCTTCTGGTATTGCTGCCACTGGTCATAATAGTCACTGCAGTTTTCTGACAGTCATACACTGGGCCAAGTGCTCCACATGCAAAATCTCACTTACTCCCTCCCATTTTACAGGAGAGAAAGTTGAGGCTCCGAGAAGTATAATTACTGGGTTCCCTAGAGATGCAAATGACAAAGCACGGACAGGAATAGTTTCTCTACTCTCAGCCACTATATGATATTGCCTCCAAGTCAAGGTAGTTTGGTACTGATGAATGAATTCACCCATTTTTCATAGCCAGGAATTATATACCTGGATGTATGATGTAAAGCAGAGCAATAAAGAAAGTTAAACTGAATTTTAGTAAGAGGACCAAAATATTTGTAAGCTTGTAGGTCATCTGATTGATGAAGTCATGTTTGTTTGTTTTTAGGGAGAGGGTGTGTCATCCACTACCACAAACCCAACAGCAGCTGCCATGATTGGCCAAACAGCCAAACTTTTTCCATCTTCATCCTCCCCTTCCCCCACCTCATTCCAGATTATTTAGAAACAGATCCCAGGCATCATATTATTTCTTCTACAAGTATTTGAACAAATATCTCTAAAAAATAAGGATTCTTTAAAAAATAACCATGATCCCATTATCATACCAAAACTTGCATTCACAATCATCCTTTAATATCACTGAATATCCCATCACTGTTGAAATTTCCCCAGTCGTTTCATGAATTGTTTTCACAGTTTGTTCTTGTCAAAATGCAAGCAAGGTGCATCCATACATGGCTGTTGGTTGATGTGTCTCTTAAGACTCCTTAATTCCACAGGATTCCCTCTTTTCCTTCCTTGCAGTTTATTTGTTGGAGACAGCTAGTCATTTGTCCCAGAGAGCTTTGTGCAATTGAGAGTTTGTGGATTGCGTCCCTGTGGTGTCATTTAACATGTTTTTCTATCCCTGGTAGTTCCTGTAAATTGGTGGTTAGACTTGGGGACTTGACTATTTCTGGTTTGATTTTTTTTTTTTTCTTTTTTGCGGTACGCGGGCCTCTCACTGTTATGGCCTCTCCCGTTGGGGAGCCCAGGTTCCGGACGCACAGGCTCAGCGGCCACGGCTCACAGGCCCAGCCGCTCCACGGCATGTGGGATCTTCCCGGACCAGGGCACAAACCCGTGTCCCCTGCATCGGCAGGCAGACTCTCAACCACTGTGCCACCAGGGAAGCCCCTGATTTTTTTTTAATAAAAATATTTAATAGGTGGTTGGAGATATTTAGGGCCTCCAGTCTAACCTCCCAGCGCCACTATGGCAGGGGCTTCCAGGTCGAGACATTCCAAGCAAGCCTGAGCCTCTCGTTAACAGAGGGAGAAGCCAAGCTCAGGAGGCTTAGTTGTGCGCAGCAAAATCCTTGCAAAGTTCAAAATCCCTTCACAG